TTCTGGGATCACTGATACAGTTTTAAAGAGAAGTCTTTATCTTTTGCAAGAGTTCTCTTTTAGTAAATTTGGAAAGAAATCCTCTTCCTTTCTGGTATTTAGAAAGTCTGGCAAAACCTTGACATGAGTCAAGCAGGTTAATGATTAACTGAAATAAATGGTCTGCCTTAATGAATTGTGGGCTGTAACCCAACATTATAACATACTCCTGTCAGGCAGGCACAGAGAGATCACAGCAAGCTTTTAAAGAAGTTGTTCTTAGGCCTCTGTTGAAGTGAGAATGATACGTGGTATATTGCACAGCTCTTCTTGGACCAGGTAAGATACTATGGTGGGTTGAACTGAGATAATAATGTGGTTTTCTGTGTTATAACGTATCAAAAGAAAAATGTGATGTGCCTTTAGCTGTGATCAGACAGGTTTTCAAGAGAAATTTAAGAACCAGAATTTCACTTTTTCATGTTGTGGTAAATTTATTTTACTTATTACACTTACTAACTTCATTCTCTGCTGAAGAGCACTCAAAACAGTGTACAAAAGTTAAACAATAAAATGCAATTAATGGTGAGAGCACTGTATTCAATATAAATTCTATTGTATATTAGTTTTTAATAATCTCTGTCATATTTCATATGGTCCTTGCTTTCATCTGGCAAAGAAACAGAACTCTTTGCCACAGGTAACGCCCTCCTTCAGCTTTGTACACTTTTACTGGATCAGTTTTAACATGCACTTTACAGCAAAACACCCTATAGTGTCTCATGGATGTAGTTTGCTTAAGGTATATTAAAAACTGAACATGTAAAAACGAAGGTAGAAGTGAGTTCAGCTCTGCAATGTACTGTATAAACATAAAGAAAGCTGTTTAACATATGAAAAATCCCAAGCACTTTTAATTTTAAGTTCCACACATTCTTAATAGGTCTAGTTTTCAATGTTAATTAAAATGTTACTTGAAATGTTTATTAAAAGTTCTAAAGCACTTATTTAATTTTTTTAAAAATCATATTACAAATGATTACAAATCAGAACTGAAAAATAATTGAAATAAAGTACATTTTAAAATACATTATTTTAAAAAAAAAATACAACTGAAAAATGGAATTAAAATTTATAAATACATACATCCATGATTTACCTCTCATTTAATCATGATAACCATTGCTCCCCATTGAGCAATTAATTGAAGTATTAAGCTTCCTACCCCAGTGATTCTGGGCTGTCCTCATGAAGAACAGGAAAGCTTGTGTAACTCTAAATAGTGCTTCTCTAAAATCTCAGAGAACAGGCTTGCAAAGATCAGTAGTTTTTCAGGACTGTCTACTGACACACACCTTAGAGATGACACACCCCCTCCAGCCCTGCCTACAGCACACTGTCTTCTGTGCCAGGATGATCTCTCTCTCTCTCTTTCTCTCTCTGATCTTATGCTTCAAGTGGATTGATGCTTAGAATATTACAGGATACAATCTGTACTTTCAGAACTATTTAGGAAGCTTTGACTCTGAAATTATGATGATGACAAAGTAACTTGGTTGTTGTCAATGCATAGTTGGGTGATATCCTGAGAATTTAAGGAAACTCAGTTTCTTATCACATGTCATTGCAAGGGATGCATACACATACACTATATATAAGGTAAATAGATAAACTGTACTGAGATTATCCAACTGACATCTATTACCTACTTTGTTAAAGTGATTCGTGTATTTAGAGTTCTAGCAGCTCTGCTGTGGGGAAAGGGAAACACAAGAAAAGAATTTCCTATGGTATGTTATCTCACTGTATATGCAAACTGATCATTAGGAATCAATCAATATATCTAATTCTCAACATAGCCCCATCTGTTGATACTTAAATCTGTGGATCAGGGCCATGGAGAGAGAAAGGAGATGTTTCTACAAACCTGGGGGAAGGCCAGGTTTGCAGGAAAACCCTAAAAGTTAAAAAAGAAATTTTTAAAAACAAAAATGACCCCAACAATTCTTTATAGGCAGACAGGAGGCATGTGAGGAGGAGGGTTTGGAAAAAGAAGACGAAACCACTGCTGTCTGCCTCACTCATCTGCTGAGGCATTGATACTGGAGAGGGACGGGGAAGAAGAGAACCCACTGCCCCTCCCAGCTGGTGAGGCAACAATGCCCCACCACTGGTGTTAAAACTGGAGGTGGGTGGGGGAGAGTCTGCAGGATTCCCCAGCCATCCCTGGGGCCGAGGCAGTGACACTCTCTCCATGTCCTGCAAAGGCAGCAGTGCTGGAGGCAGGCTGGGGAGGGGGCATGGAAGTGATTGCTCTCCACCATGCAGAGGTGGCAGCACTAGCGGCAGGAGGGAGGGAATAGGAACAGAGGCCTGAGCCATGGGCGCAGCCTGGTGAGCAGGGTGTGTGACAGAGAATGGGTGGGGGAGACAGAAAGGGGGGGATGAGGTACAGAAAAGAGATGGGAGAGAAAGGAAAGGTAGAGGTAATGGGATGCCTAATTCTCAACATGGCCCATCTGTGGATACTTAAATCCACAGACTGAGGCCATGGGCAGATATTTCTACAAACCTGAGAAAAGCCTCAGGGCTGCAGAACCCCCCCCCCCCAAAAAAAAAAAAACTTTAATAGTGAGGGAGGGGGAAATGAGAAGCCCTTGTCGGTCCCCTGCTTATATTTTATAAATATTTCATTTTTACAAAAGGGAACTGCCCAAATTTTATCCACAGCTGGTTAGCTTGATGCCAGAGAACAATCATAAAAAGGTCCGGTCAAAATTCTACTAATGTCTATTCAGTGCATCCTACTCCTAGGAAAGTGTTCTAAAGGATGGCACTGCATTATTGCATTGTGACAATAGTTGGAGCTCTGAAAATTTCAGAGCAAAATAGATGTTTGTTTTCTGGGAGGGAACCTCTCATATGATGAAGCACCTTGGATTCTCCTCTTTTCCCTTTAACTGATATTCAGCTGCTTTCTTTCTGGAGCATATTTAGTCCTTGGTCAGTATGGGATTTTTAGACCCCCCCCCCCAATTTGGTTATTTTACTAAGAAGTCATATTTTTCAGAATACATGGTTCTGCGGCTTTCATCATCCACCCAGGGACCAGTCAATTCATTGAACATAGTGATGCTGTTAGAAGTCACTCTGCCAAAGCAGCCAATAATGTTTAAATATAAAATACAAAAAAGTATACAGGTAAAGGTAAAGGTTCCCTTGCTCGAAAGCCAGTCGAATTTGACTCTAGGGTTGCAGTGCTCATCTCCGTTTCAAAGCCAGCGCTATTCGAAGACATTTCCGTGGTCAGAATGACTAAACACCAAGGCGCACGGAACGCTGTTACCTTCCCACCGAAGTGGTACCTATTTATCTACTTGCAATTTCTTGCTTTCAAACTGCTAGGTTGGCAGGAACAAAAAAGTATACAGCTGCCTAAATGGAACTTTACAATTTCTTTGTATAACCCATTTTTAGATGCTGGAGTTGGTTCAAGATAAACAGAGGGCAGTTCTGTTGCTTATTTTAAACCAACACTCCTTCTAACTACAAATGGGGTCTCAGGTCAAAGATAAGGAAGAAGCTTCGTTTGACCTGATCTGTGTGCTGACTGAGACTTTTACAGCCAAAGGCTCTTGCACTGTTGAAATATGTCTAGTATATCAGACTCCAAACCCTGCTGAGACTGCAGAACTACTCAGCACAAACTTAACCGTTTCTCCAAAAATTCATATCTATTTTATTTATTTATTTGAGTTTTACCCCACCCTTCCAGTGGGTAAACTTAATTAATCAAAAGGAGATTTCAACAAGGGGTGTTTCAGCCACACATTGCTCTAGCCAATGTGAAAAAGATGTTTTGCATTAAGACCTTCACTTTGTTGTACCAGAATATTCCTTGATAATTTCTGAAGGAGGGTTTTTTTTTGTCTTTTTGAAATGTATCCCTTGATAGGAAGTTATCTAAATTCCAGATACAGATATAAATTTCTCCTATGCAATACTTTAAACAAGATTTAAAGGCTACAAAATCTTTACATAGTCCCATGGATTTCATAGTAGAATGTATATACAGCTAGCATATTTTGGTATAACCAGGGATATGTGTTGTAATTCTATAGCTGGGCATCCTGGAGAACTAATTGTGTCAACTGACAAGTACATCTGTGTTCAGCTATGCTGAATGTATGGACTTTCCTGTGGTTTCCATGTATGCTTCAATAGTGGGAAAGTGCCATGTGCTAGAAAAGATGTACATGGGGCGGTGCTCTCTGCAATGGGAAAATGCTTATTGATAACAGAGGTCCATATTTTCATGGAAGCGTCTGTGCTCACAAACATCAGTTTAATGTGCTTACAGTTATACAATAATGAGTCAATTAGAATATAGAGCTTTATGCCAACAATGTCACATCAGTATTATTCTCACAGAAGGCACAAGGATATCCATTTATAAGGCTTGTGAGCTTGTCTCTCTAAAATTACTGAATAGAAGTTGATTTAAATAGCAGGGGATCTACATCAGCTATGCTGAAAACATCTGGGAGTAGCTGCACGTACCAACATCACCAGAAGCTATGTTTATGCAGTTTAAATTTCATTTCCTTGAAGAAGATTTTTTCCTATTGGTGAAAAACAAAGAGGACACAACCATCAGAACTTTTGATGAGGGATAGCTCATTTCTGTACAAATATATTATTTTTTACCAGTTTACTTATTCTGTGAATAGAGTCACCAGTTCTGAGTTGGGAAATACCTGGAGATTTTGGGGGTGGAGCCTGAGGAAGCAGGGTTTAGAGCGGAGAGGGACTTCAGTGGGGTATAATGCCATAGAGTTCGCCCTCCAAACTGGCCATTTTCTGCCTGGAGATCAGTTGTAACAGCATGTGATCTCCAGCCACCACCTGGACATTGGCAGTCCTGTCTATGAATCTCAGCACACCTCTCTCCAGGAGGCTATACCTGCATGCATTATACAAATGCCTTTTTTAATTACAGTTTTCCTAATTTAAGTCAAGAGATGAGTCCTCTGGAAAAGAATTACACCACTTTGTCTTCAAGAAACCACATAGTAAGTTGATAAAGCTGCAGTTGTTTAAAATGCATATTGTAACATTAAAAAAAATGATGCGTGCTTGGATCTTGGATGTCAGGAAAGCTTTTCAAATATTCCATCATTTCCTTTCTGGAACAACTCAGTTGCCCTGGATCCAGAATCTTGGTGACCTAATTAAAAACATACTTGGTTCCTGTTTTTGCAACAGATGAAGCTTAGAAAACAAGAAGTGGGATTACTTTTCAAAACAGAGGCTTGTTACATGATATACTGAATTTATAGAAGCAGAATGACTTCATTAATCAGGTTTTCCTTTCTTGTTAACATATGGGTTTGCCATATAACTAAATCTTATGTCAGCTTTTTTGTTTTTTTGTGCTTCGATAAGAGGTTTCCAAAGGAAACCCACAGTGCTAAATCAGACCATGACAAATCTGCATACAGCAGATCTTGAAATGTTAAAAGTAGTAAACATAGAACAAACTGGTGCTTATGGGTACAAGGAAGTTAAACTTTTCCAGATTTGTCTGGAGTTAATTAATGCTTATTAAAGGCTACTGTGCATTTTATGAATTAACTAGGGTATATCGGTTACAATCTATACCAATTATAAAAGACTAACTTTGTTTTAGGGATCTCTTCGGCCCTGGCACCAATGTTACTACAGCGATTTGACTTGCCCTATCTGCCTCCAGGCGGCTAATTTCCCAGTAGAAACTAACTGTGGACATTTATATTGCGGTAAGTATTGTTATTTTTTCCAATTATTGTGCTTTAAAACATATAGCAACATCAATGCTACATTCAATTATAAAAGAAAACACTTCACAAAATATTGTTTCTTGTTTTGTATGTCTGAAGTTCATGTAGACCTCAAAATTAAGAAAAGGCTTTTAAAAAAGAGAACTGGGAAATTTCTCATTAAATAAAATTAAAGGATATACAAGAAAGGAACTCACATTAATTCAAGTTAATTAATTTGGTCTCACAAATTAAAAACTTTCTCCCTTGCTGTCAACACAGACAGATATTTGATCCAGCTCTGAACAGCTCTACTGTGTTTGGATTTTTAGCCTTGCAAGGCTGCCTTTGTGGCAACAAAAAAGGCCCATCAGGACTACAGCAGGTTTGCCAGCCCCCCAACCTTCCCCAGAGGAAGAAGTTTTACAGGTCTATGATGTTTTACTGTATGATGGCCACATGCACAGATTGCTTTAAAAGAGACTAAGACAGATTCATGGAGGAGAAGTCCATCAATGGCTACTTGCCGTGGTAACTGAAGGGGGCCTCCCTATACAGAGGCAGCAAACCTCTAAACACCAGTGCTGGGAGGCAGCAGCAGGGGAGGGCCTCAGGTTCTCTGCCCTGAGTGCTTGGCCTTCTGAAAAGTACTGATGCAGTGATTTCAGCTCATACTTTTATTAAAGGTGCAGAACAAGACACCAACACCAGCTCCCAGGCCGGCTTATATTCCCACTCCCAAAACACACCCCACACCAGCGATAGGTTAATTACAGTGGTCAGGCGTTCCATAGGTCCTTCTTGGATCCTAGCCCTCAGATAGGTGCGGGCCAGGATCTGCGCGGACCATTGTTCTCAGGAGCGAAGCTCGGTGGCTTTGCATGACCTTGTGGAGACCCGGCCTCGCACGCGGTCGGACTTCAATACATAACACCTTCCAAGGCAAGTAGTTGGCTGCTGTGTAGTAAGGTGGACTAGATGGACTACTGGTCTGATCCAGCAGTCTTTACTTATGATCCAGTTAGGGTTGCCAGTTCCGGGTTGGGAAATACCTGGAGATTTTGGGGGTGGAGCCTGAGGAAGGTAGGGTTTGGGAAGGGGAGGGACTTCAGTGGGGTGTAATGCCAGAGTTCACCTTCCACAGCAGCCATTTTCTCCAGGTGAACTGATCTCTGTCACCCGGAGATCAATTGTAATAGTAGGAGATCTCCAACCACCACCTGGAGATTGGTAACCCTAGATCCAGTACTGAAAATATGTGATTCAAAGTGACATCCAGAGTAATTGTACATGCCATCTGTTTATCGTCATAGCATCACAGTTTCTATGTCTGTTATATAAGATAGAGCAACAAGTTTTTCATTCATCCATATTACATGCTGAAAAGTTTTGCAATATCCAGGAAGTCTTCAGAACAATAAACAGGAAACAGATACCACTCTGGCCCAGAGTGTCCGCTCTGTACTGGAGTCTGTGATATAGGCAAAAGGCCAACAGAAACAGACCAAAATAAAAGTATTTGCCATACAAAAATGTACAACAATTCACTGTCAATTTGAATTGTAACACTTAAGGGCTGAGAACTAACTATTTCCTAAATTGCTAGGAAACAAAATTCCGTTCAGTGCCAGTTACCCTGCAATTTTCACCTTAAAACTTCCTAGAACTTACATTTATTTTTATTTCTCAATTTCAAAATGTTAAGAGCATCCAAACTCACAATATCTAAAAGGTTACACTCATTTAAAACAAAAACAAAAACCATCCTGAATCATGTGCAAGATCCATTGATGGATGGAATGTATGTTTCTCCCACAGTTAAAATGTGGCAAAATCTCATTGCCATTAATGCCTACCAAAAAGATACTGGGAGGTATTTTGGCAACATTAACAATATTCCTATTGAGTCATGCTTTTACTTCATCAGTATGGTGGGTGCCAGTTTGTTTTTGTAGATGGTGAAGGGAAATAAACCTCTAAGGCTGCACATTTGGTCATCTATTACTTCCTGTCTGACAGCAGGCCAGCACACCAGAGCAGAGCAGCAAGGCTTCCAGTGATGGTGCAAAGGGAAGCCTCATATTATCATGGTTTTGTTAGGACCAAAGCCCTGCCTGTGGTGGGAGAACAGCTGCCACTTACACTACTCTGTCAGCATGGGAGATGTCAGTCGATCTGCATCATTTCCAACGGATTATCAGAGAGTCCCCATCTCTACCAGGACCAAAACTGTGTTGTACCAGCAAAATGTTACAAGTGACTGGTTCAGGACTTTTGGAATGCAAGTATGGCAGAATTGCATGGCTTTGTCCCACTTTCCTGC